GGGGGGGCGCTTTTGTTCCCGGGGTTTCCAGGAACAAGATTAAGGCGGCGGAGGCTGCCACCACCTTCGAGGAGAAGACCAAGGCCTCCGCGTACGAGGAGTATATGGCGGCCAGGTGAGGGAGGGCGGGAGATGGGGGTGGGAGGGGAGAGATAGCGTCTAACCGCCAACGTGGTGGTGTACATGGCAGCGAGGTGTCTGGTCGCCGAGGTAGTCGAGTACATAGCGGCGAGGTGAGGGAGTTCGGGAGGGAGAGATAATTCGCGTCTGGTCGCCGACGTGGTCGTGCATCCGTCGGCCATTGTATCCTTGCTCTTGATTTCTGTTATACTTGTTTGGGTTACACATCTTATAATATACGTGCGGGAAGAAGCTCTGGACGAAGCAGCAACTGAAGAAGTGACCAACAAGTCGACATTTTCGAGCCATGTTCGGCGGCGAGTTATACGTAGAGTGTATCGAGGGCCGTTCGTTCCCGTTCGTTCCCGTTCTACAGGTACAGCAGTATCAACTGACAACATGCTGTACGCGCAGGTGCCGGATTCACCGTATCGCTTTGCTTCGTTTTTTTTACAGACTGCTAACCCGTTGGAGATGATCTGGTGCCACAACATGGAAGGATAGTCTGTGACAGCAAACGACGTCCAATCAAGATCAGTTTTTTTTTGCCTTCGGTGGTCGTGCTTGTGAGTGACTGACTGACTGCACCATCATCTGTTGTGCACAACGAATGCCCCTTGATCGTCCGTTGGTGGTTTCTAGGAGGGCGAAGGAGTCGGGAAGCGATGTCCCCGTGGCCGACTGCGTGGAGGAGGAGTGCTCGGCGGAGGAGGTGGAACAGGAGGCCGGTCTATTCGCGTCGTACATGGCGTCCAGGCGAGTGAATGGGCCAACAGGGACAGAGAGGCATCTCGTATGCATACGTTTTGGTTTTCTGCAGCGTGTATGAGCTTGTACCATGTGTCTCGGTGCTGGTGCTGGTGGTGTTGCTGTCTTGTGCTTGATTTGTCGACAATAGGTCCTGACCTCTATGACGTCATGCGATGACGTCAGGACGAGGGCCGGCCGTCCGTGCGGATGGATCCGACAGTCCCGCGTGGGACTTGCAGAGGCAGGCGTGCTCGACCAACAGACCTGGGGGGAGGCGATGCTCGCAAGGGTTGTTCTTCTTGCAGACCGTTGTAGCCTTCCTCGTACTGTCTCCTCTTGGGAGTCGCGACATGCACACCTGAATCAGTTCGCCACACACACGCGAAAAGTTGGCGAGTGAGTGTCGCGAGGTGGTTTGTTTTTCTTCACATGGAGACAGCCCCTTGTCGGTATTCCAACGCCCCTTGAAGTGTTGAACGTAACAACGCGGGCCCATGTTTGTAAAGCGCTTGCTGAACTTTCACCGGTGTTCGGAGTCATTTTTTTGGGCCGCACACAAGAAAAGCAAGAGGAGCCCAAAGAACGCCTTCTTTAGAACCGTGTCTTTGTTTTCCCGTTTTTGCGACAAGGTGTATCCGATTACAGAACGAAGGTTGTTGATATCGTGGTCTTCTCTTTTTCTTTTTTCTTCCTTGTTTGGTTGTCCAATGTTGATGGTGACGTTTTCCAGAGCATGAAGGAAGGTAGAAGCCGCTCCTGGCATCGTCGCCTCCCCTTTTTGTTTCGTGTTTGATTATTTTTGCATACTTGACTGATGATGTTTTCCAGAGGCATCAAGGTAGAGGCCACCACGGAGGAGCAGGTCTCGTACTACGACAGCCACATGGCGTCGAGGTGAGAACTACGATATTCATCCCCCCCGCTTCTTTGTTTCGTTTGCTAGTGGATCGTGCTAAGCACCAACCACTTTGTTCACATGGTGGAATGCGGTAGGACACCACATTTTTTTAGGACCCCGCATTACATGTGGACAAGAACACTATTTTTTATAGAAAAATGGTGCCCCGCAGAATGTAATAACGATCGGGAGGTACATTGTTAGGGACATATCGTCCCTGCTGTGGTGTTTTGGCGGGAAAAAATTGTACCATTTCGTTCGCGGTGTGTGTTTCGGCTGTGCGGGGAAGATCGTTTAATCTTGCTTCTTATCTATCCACATTGTATGTATCTACCTTCTACCTTCTACCTTCCACCTACCACCAGGAAGCACGTGAAGGATGCTAACGCCGATGTGACGCCGCAGGAGGCGGAGAACGTTAGCCTCTTCGACAGCTACATGGCCTCAAGGTGAGTGAGAGTGGCGGCAGACAAGTTGCATTTGTATCGTAGACTCTCTTTCTCTCTCTGCCTCTCTCGCTCTTGCTCTCTCTTGCTCTCGCTCTCGCTCTCTTTGCCTCTCTCTCTGTTCCATCTCTCTCTTGCTCTCGCTCTCTTTGCCTCTCTTTGCCTCTCTCTCTGTTCCATCTCCCTCTTGCTCTCTCTTGTTGTCTCGCTTGCGGTGGATGGCGGTTTCAACTGACATGCAAACGCACTCACAGTAGACTACTAGTAGTAGTGTTGATCCTCTCCGCCAAGTGTCGGAACTACATAATAACTTCTTAACAACGACATATATCAGTTGCCCGCGTGGTGAGTGATTGTTTTTTTTTCGTCGCTTGTCCTGTTATTTCTGGACCTCAATTCTCCTCCTACCCGTGCTCACTTGTTAGAGCAGACGACTGGGGGAAAAGGAGAGGGGAGATGTCAGCTTGCTCTAATCTAACCGTGTCTGCGCTTTCGTTCGTTCCTCATGCTCACGTTTGTCCTAGTCGTCGGTGAGGGACGATGCTCCGTTGCATCTTCTTCTTCCGTCGCCCAGCAACCTTCGGCACACGATCCCTTCCGCCTGGTTGCTGTCTGTTAATTCCTGCACCCTCGCACCTTGCTTGGCGCGTTACACGTTGACTCTTCCAGGAACGCGGCCGACGCTGCCCGTAAAACCATGCCTCCGGCAGAGGCGCAGAAGGCACTCTTCGACGACTTCCAGAAGGAATCCAGGTTAGGTGGTTTGTTGGTGTTGTTGCATGCGTTTCGCGGGGGGGTGCACTCATAGGCGTGCATGCCGCAGTCGTTAGACCATTGGCCTCGCATCCCTACAAAGCCGGGACGGAGCACGCCGGGCGGGGAGGGGGGGGGCAAGCGTGTGCAGTGACCGACCCGGATGGGATGGAACCTTCCTGTAGATACCTCGGAAGGGTGTGTTCTGGAAATGAATCGCACCTTGGTTCTCGAGGTGAATAGCTATTTCGTTGTGGCGGGCGGCTCTGTGCCAGCAGCAACGGCCGGGAAATGTTGCCCTCTTGTTTTTGGTTCTCGCCAACTCTCGAGGGAAGTGAACGAACGATACCATCGGTTGTGGGGGACGACACCATCGGTGGCGTCAACATACACCGAAGCGACCTGCAATAGATAGTATGATGGCGGTGCTGCCAGCCTTATGGTATATTTTGCAACGCCTACTTTGGGCTCACACACGTTTGCCTTACCCCCCAAAAAAATTGCATGCATCCATGGACGGACACAAGTGTGCACGGCAAGGTGTCAGGAAACAGGGTGTCGCGCTGGGGCAACCAACCACCCCACGACACTCGTTATCCCCTCTGCTTATGTACACTGGCGCAAGTTTCACACCACCTACTTTCCGCGCTTGTTTCACCTCATCTCTTGTTCTTTTTTACCGTGGGCGGTCGTACTTGCGTGTCTTGTTCGATCTCGGATCAACACTAATTATGTATTTCTCGTTGTCCTCGCCGTTGCTCTCGTGGTCGATTTCGCCCCCCCCCCCCCCCCCCCC